TTGTAACGTCTCAAAAATACCAAGAAAAATTTTCATTTCTATTAATTAAAAACCACTCATTCATTATTCCAAAAGATGATCAGAGTAAAAAGTATTCTCAAAACATCAGAGTAAACATAAACAATCCTTGCAGAATAATCTCCACGGGATACAGTGCGATCAAGTCGGACCCTTCCTTTTGAAACTAGAAGTACCTGAAAACATTTTAAACATAAATCGTAAGCACAAAGCTTAGTGAGTTCCCCAAGATACCACATGTCATACAAATCAGTAGGCCCCGCCCTGGTGTATGTGTTTACTGGATCATACCATAGTGGGCCTCCCCTATGGGGACTCGCCCTGAGGTATATTTCAACCCAATAAACAAATATTGGCCCAGTCTTGGGGTATATTTCAACACGAACATGTAGTAGTGGGCCCCGCCCTAGGGTTTCTTTCTACCCGAGCATGCAACACTTATAATCACATAACATCAATCGTACCATGCAAGAGTCACAAAGACAGCTAGCATATACAGATCCTAGTGAGCCGACATTGGTGTCTTTCACCCACATGTACTGCGAAGAGACTCACCTGAAGTACTCAACAGAAGCTCACAGCTACGTCAACAACATATCAACTAACTGAAGCTTCCTAAACCTAAATCGATACCAGACGTTAGTCAATTGGTCAAAAAGTCAATCGATCAAAGTTAATCCAGTTGACACCTACGTCGTGGCCAACCCATGTCCATGCCGTGACCATTCAATCCAGTCCCGATCAAAATCTGCTAGCATGTCGTGGCAGACATGTCACCACACCATGGGTACATCCATACAAAACAAATGCAATAAGTCCCGCCACCACGTCCTGGCCTTCAATGGCCACGTCGTGGTCCTCAGTTTGAAAGGCTTTTCTTCAAAAGAAGAGCTTAATTCATGATGACCAAAGCTAAAAATCAAATCTGATTCCTAATAGCTTCATAATGGATAAAGTTTCCATCTTTATCCATTAAGATGGTACAAACCACCAAGATCCAGACTTTAAGTCTTAAAGGGACCCAAAAATGCATCTTTTTCAACTTAATCCATTAAGTCCAAGTCTCCCACTTATAGACCTGAATCAATAAGATGTCTAGATGGATAAAGTTTCCAAATTTATCCATAATAATGTCACAATCCTTCAAGATCTAAACTTTATTGCACCAAAATGACCTAAAGGACCAAGATAACTTGCATGGCTAAAACAGAAGGCAAAAGATCATAACTTTCCTAGTCAATGAGGTACCAGAAACACTCAAAACTGATCAAAAGGTATTAGAGCCCACTCAACTCCAAGATCACTAATAAAATGGATCAAAAGTGCCAAAAACCACATATGCAGAGATTTAAAGAACTAAAGAGCAAGATTGGAGCTTTATACTTACAATAGTCTAGAAATGTTGTGCCTTTGATGGATCCAAGCTTGAAGCATCATTTCTTGCAACCAAAAGAATTTTCTTAGTCTTTGTGCTTCATCAAAATATCATAAAAAGAACCCAAAAGAGGAGAGGGGAGAGAGGAGGGGCTCAAATCTTGAAGGTGGAGGCTAGGGTTTCTCCCAAGGGGTCTTAGAGGTGGTGGAGGATGATAAAATGCCCAAAAAAGCGGAAGATTAAGCTTAAATACACAAAAAAAAAAAACCCTAAAATCATGGGCTTAGGACTGACAGATCACCACCTCGTGGTCCCAACTCACCACTTCGTGGTGACCACCACCTCGTGATGACGGTTTCGCCCAAATCTATTTCAGCTTTGAACAATCATAACTTATTCGTTTCAACTCCGTTTTCGACAATCTTTATATCCACGGAAAGGTATTGACGAGCCACACACTTCCATCTAGTTAATTTTGGCTTAACACATACGGAACTAAAAGCCATAATCCATAAAGGAAGCCCGAAACATCACTTTTCCTACTTTCCCCTTTGACTCCAAAACACAAAACCAAGGCTTAGATCACATAACCAATATTATCAGCATCCAATAGATTCTAACCCTATCCACTTGAAGCCCAAAACCTTTACTTGATCCATTTATTGTCCACAATCCTAAAATAAGAAACTTCTTGAAACCGGATGTTACAAATATATATTGAATGGTGAATAAAAATGAACAAAAAAGTTATGTGTTTCAAGGAAAATAAATGCCCAATATAAATAAATAAGTTAAAACCTAATTTTTTTTTATTAAAAATGCTCTTTTGTTTTACTCGTTACCTAAGGAAAGGAGAATGGCATAACTTAGACATATGTTAAGCTGAGGTGCGAAAGACTCTTAGTTTAGATGGAGCGCAATATATCCGACACCACTCCTTATAAATAAACATATAAATTTAGGATAGTCACAAACATATTATTTTCCTAAGTTCTATTTAATTTTTGATCATCAATTTAATAGCTAAAATTAGCTTTAATTATGAAATGTGCTATCTTTAAAACTACTTTTATTGTATCGAAATAGTTTTCACGATCTTGAATTAAGTAAAAATACGTTTGATGGTACAAGATTAAAAGTTATATTTTATACAAACAACATCTAAGTAAAATCATCTAATTAAAGCTAATTCATGTAGTGTTTGAAAGCATTTATGAACTTTTTGACTTTGGATGTGTTCGACATAGAGGTTTTGAGAGTTTTTAAGATAAATTTTTTTTATAAAGAAATAAACTTCGTTATATAGTAAAAAAAATTTAGCTTTTCATTTTAAATAAAATAACTCATAATCTAAGGTCCTTTTAAGAAGATTTGAAGATCTTTTACTTTTGGTAAGAGCATCTCCAATGTGAGTTTTTTTTAAAGCTTTTTACTATTCATTTATTTATATTGAGTATTTATTCCCATTGGAGTATATAGTTTTTTTTTGCTTAATTTTATTGACGACTCAATATATATATTGAGTGGTCAAAATAGGTTTAATCCTTTGTACATTCAATCCCCTTATCTTCTACTCATATTTTATTTTACCATTTAAGTTTTTTTTAATTTTTAATTAATTAATTTATTACTAGTTAGTTAATTATATCAAATATTTAATGCCTTTTATTACACAGTTTTAATGTATTTTATTGGGAAATATACAATATCTCATATTGACCACCAAAACAATTTATACAACGTAAATTACAATTTTGGTAATTCTGGTTAATTCATAGCATTTTTAGTTTGAATTTTAAAATTTTTGTCATGGCTAGAATCTAGGATTTTTTTTTATTTTTTATTTTTTTGGGAAGGAGGCCGGAGCTCGTATCAAGGATTTTTAGTAGTTGTTTGGTCTCTATGCGTTGCCATCTCCACATTCTGGTTTGGCCTTGGAGTGGTGTTCCGATCAGGGGCAGTTTTGTTATGGTGCACGTACTGACATTGGCAACGCCTTATATTTTTGAACACATAGTAAAAATTTTCTAATTTTTTTTTTTCAATTATCATGCCACTACAAAATTTCCGTGCCACATCTACTATGAAATTCTACGTCCGCCCATGATTCTAATCTTCTCCACAATGTCGAGAGAGGTCTCCTCAGCCTCCTCCATGCCATTATAGACCCAAACCCAAGAGCCTTACATAGAAGAAGAACATTTGATAACACCCGCATTGGCGGATTTTGGTGTATCTCGGGGGGTTTCGGGCCACCACTCGATTTTATGTCGTAGTGTAATTTTTTTTCTAATAACACTATAAAAAAATATATGCATGTACAATAATAATTTATGCGTCCTGAACACCCGTAAAAGCATATTGTGCTTTGTATGTGAACGAATACATGTCTCCCTCATGGGAGGTATCGATATTCCAATCTCTAAAACTCGTTCTCTTGTTCTCATTGACTCTTTTGAGCACAACCTTCCTAATTTGTGAGTCAGAGCGTCATCATAGGCCAAACCATCAAATATTTGTTTAACCTAATTTTCATTTGTCATGATAACATGTCCATGATATTTGAATCACTCTCAGGAAGATTATACAATCTCATTCCCCACTTCTTTGATTGTCTCTCTGCGACTTAATTGCATCATGTAATAATAGAACTCGCATATTGTTAGAATGGTTTGATCTTGAAATTTAATATTTTATTAATGTATGTAGCCGTACAATCCGTCAATAGGTAAGTCAAATTACGACTTTTAGCTTTAACCGACATACACAATTTCTTGAGTGAAAGTAACAATCTAAGCTGAATTGGATTCATAACAAGGACACAATAAACTTGTTCTAAGCTAATCATATATATAAATATAAAAAAAATTATACATTTTCATAACATTTCATTTTTATAAATGAAACTTGTTTTATGTCGTAAACAGAAAATCATAGATATTTGTTGAAAATTTTCTTAAACCACGCTTTAATAATTATCAATACAAAATATATTAACGAGTACAACCTTAATGAACATAGACTAAAATACATCTGACGATCACTTGTAATTTAATCATTTCAAATAAAATTGTCAAAATATAAATTTATGTTTCTTTTTTAATTTAATTTATTCCAGTCTTGAATATTTCTTGAACCTTAATTAGAATCAATAGTCTATTTTATTTTGAACATTTCCCCATGTTTTTTCAAATCAGAATTTCCAAATTATAGTCATTAAAATTTTAAAACAACAAACATAATATTCATTATATCTGTTATCAAATTTATTGTATGACATCCTTATTTAATGATTTTATCATACAAAATCATCCAAAAAGTAAGATTGTATGTTTTTTTCCTGAAAAATTAATTAATACTTCACAATTAACATTATTTTATTATATAACATTAATGATAATGATAAGAATATAATATTAAAAAAAAGGAGATCATATATCATTTTTACGGTGTTACCCTTCAATGCAATAAATACTCACAAACTCACATAAGGCCAAAAACAACCTCTTTCCTCTATCTCTCTCTAGAAAACTTTTCATCTTTATAAGCTCTCCCTCTATCTTTGATCCGAAGAACTCCCCTCTTTCGCTAAAAGCAAGAGATAGAAATGAGCTGCAATGGCTGCCGAGTTCTGCGAAAGGGTTGTGGTGAGAACTGTGTCCTGAGACCATGTTTGGAGTGGATCCAATCCCCCGATGCACAAGGCCACGCCACACTCTTCATCTCCAAGTTCTTCGGCCGCAGCGATCTCATCAATTTCATCACCGCCGTCCCCTCCGGCAACCAACGTACTGGTGTGTATAGTCTAATTAGTAATTAACCAGTCTCTTCAATTCATCCAACTTTTATTCCAATTTTGAATGTTTTCATCTGAATTTTGCATGTATTAATTGTGCATTTCAATTCTCGTAGCGTTGTTCCAATCGCTTTTGTACGAAGCGGTTGGGCGGACAGTGAATCCGGTGAACGGTGCAATGGGATTTCTTACTACCGGAAAGTGGCACCTTCTTGAGGCTGCTGTGGAGACGGTCCTTTCCGGTGGTTCGCCGATTCCGATTGGTGACGAAACATCGATCACGGAAGTTGACGAGAGTTCTGAGGTCTTCAAAACTAGAAGTGAGTGGGCGATGACGATAATCCGGAATCAGACCGATGCAGGCAACTCCAACGCGGTTCCACCAGCAAATGTAGTGATCGCTGACGACAACAACCGGAGTTTCTCGCCCACTCCAGCCTCTAACATTGCGATGGACTTGGGGATGAGTTCCCGCCGCAGCGACGGTGAAGAACCGAAGCTGCTGAACCTTTTTCGATGACGAAAATTTTGAGTGTAATCAGTGGCGGATCTAGAAAAATAATTTAGGGTATGCAAATATTTGTAATTTAAATTTTTTAACTCTAATCTTTTGTGTTAAAACTAATGGACGAAATAGAATTTGACATCATTCTCTAGTTTTTATCTTTTAAAAAAGATTATTTACATCATTTATTTGAGACGCCTATGTTTTTCTTTGCAAAACTCTATTGATCTCTAGCTGAAATTAACAACAAAACTTAACATAATAATTTTAACAAACCTTAAGTTAATGATTTTGTTACGGATCATAATATATGTATACAATCAACAGCTTAAAAAATATACAGTAATAAAAGAAATTATTTTACAAAGTATGCCTATTTAAACTCTCTTTAACAAAAGATAAGTAATCAGTTATATTTCCACATAAAATACGATACTTTTTTATATTGGTATACAACTGTAAATATAAATAAAAAAATCTTTTAGTAAATATAAATATAAAAATCTTTTAGTAGAGTACATTGGATATGTCTAGAGAGTTCTTTGCAAAAAAAACCTAATAGTCTTTGACTCTTGAATAAAAAGTCTACACAATCAAATATAGAGGCAGAGAGCCAAGGTCAGGGAGAGAGAACGTGGGATAGAAAGAATGAGTTGCACACATACCGAGAGGTCGAGAACTGAAGACGACGAACCGCGAACTCGGCCGGAGGGGCAACGTAGAGCGGCGATTTCTGGTGGACTATTTATCGGTTTTACCGTGAACGTGGCCGATGAGGCGGAGAAGACTTCCATTGGTTAGGGTTTTTAGTTTTTAGTTTTGTTATTTTCTAAAAGTTTTGACAGCGGCGTATGAATGGCTGCGTTATATTCGACTAAAGTATTTAAATTTTTTTTATAGAATCAGATGTTTTATTAGGATTTTTTTAATACTTTAAATTTTGAAATTTGGTTTACCTTTTCTGGGAAATTTTTGAAACGGAAAGGCTTCTAAAGATCGGTATTTGTTGATAGTTGTCATATTATAATTTGTTTCAAAATTTTTATTTTTCTTATGTTGAAATAAGGGAATTCTTTCAAATTTTAGATTTTTTTACATTCGAAAATTCAAACCTAATTAGTTGTGGTTATACAAAAGGGTATGCAACTATTATACGAAGGGAATGCAACATTAGGTTTTGATATAAAATTTCTATTTTTAAAACAAATAATAATACTTCTGGTAAAAATTTAAGGGTATGCAATTGCATACCCTTGCTAAACTCTACATCCGCCCCTGAGTGTAATGGCAGAGTAGTTATGTTATGAATTATGAAATACATGAGTAGTCGTATGGTAGGAGACCCCCTTTTTTCAGAAAAAAGTGCTCAGTAATAAATAAATCTGCCGAAGAGTTCCGTCGTCTACAATCCACGATGGCTATATGTAATTTCCAGTGTTTCCTTTTCTTTGACGTATGTTCGTGTGTACTCTCTCTCTCTCTCTCTCTCACTCTCTCTCTTTCTCTCTCTATAAAAGTGATAAAATTACAAAATTGGTCTTTATGGTTTGTAAAAAAATCTCACTTTAAGGACAACTATGAAAAACACTACACCACTAGTCTTTATGTTTTCAACTTCTTACGTGGTTGGTCCTTGACTCATCTAAAATAACTGGAATACCCTATTAGTTTATTTTTGAATTTTAAATATATTCTTTAACTAATTTAATTAAAAAAGCGCACCACTAACCCTACTTATAACCCTTATTTTTTCCTTCGCTTCATCACGTGGACTTCCTTCACCTGTTCATCTTTTTAGTTATCACCGAATGCTAGATTCTTCCCTTTTCTATCCCGTTGGTGGTTACAAAGCCCTAGATCATTATATTGAACTACTTAGTGAAGAGTTTGCATTAAATTACTTGTTAATTTTGTCTTCGGATTTCACCGTAAGAAGCGCTCAATCATGAAGCCCTAGATAACTGTATCGAAGTTCTTACTCATTTTGTCCCTAATTTTAACAATGGTTTTAAGATGAAGGTGAGCATCTAATAGCTTGTTACACTTTAGAAATAGTTTTTTGTATCAAGATGGAGGTTCACATCACTGAAATTTGATAATGGAGGTTTCTAGATGGAGGTCTACATCGAGATTCTTGTTGAAATTTAGCATGAGAGGAGGGAGGGGGGATCAAGTGATTAATAAATGGACATTTGCTCATCTATGTAATGAAGAGGTAAAAAACAATGTTCAGTTTTTTTGCCATACACAATGAACATGAAGGAAACTACAAAAGAAATAAAAGTCACATGTTGAAGAATGTATGCATCTTGGCTTTGTTTTCTTTAGCACTAGAACATACATCTTTATCTTAGTGAATCAAATATGAAGCCTTTTTGGCGATTGGGAGCTTGGGTGTTAATCAGAGCAACAAATGTGCATCTGAACGACAATTAAAACTCTTTGTACAAGAAATATTTTGGGAATTTAAAGATGGTGTAATTAAATATTTTCTGGTGAATTCTTAGTTAGTTTTTCTGTAATCTTTTTTCCACTCAAATTGCAAAGATGATAAGATAACGCAAGAATTTTCTAAGCTTCATTATTGTTTTGTATTTCTTTTTCCGCTTTCCCTTTTTCATATTTTGATTCTTCGTGTTCCAAATAAAATCGATAGTGTTTCTTAATTTAATCTTCGTTCTTCGATTTTTTGCAAGAAGTTACTTTAGTTAATTTCCACATAATGTTTGCTATGTTTTTTTCTGTAATTTTGATGACAATTGAAGTGGAGGTGGAAGGTGGCGGATAGAAAGGAGAGGAAGGGGTGTGGTGGGGGGGTTGAGGGATGCCCTATGATTTAATACTAATAGATAAAATATAAACAAGTAATAGATAAAGATAAAAAATATTATAAAAGGGTAAAATGGACATTTTACATGACTTTGGACCAATAATGTAAGATTTTGAAACCATAAGAACTAGTAGTGTAACGTTTTTCATAGTTGTCCTTAAACTCAAACTTTTTGATAACCACATGCACTAATTTGAAAATTTGTCAAAAAAATATATTATTTATATATAGATTAAAATCTTGTTCGCAGGAATAGTAAATTAATCCTATTGGATTTTAAATTTCAAATTTTTGCCGCAAATTTTTTAGATATTGGCATATTTAATCCCTATAACTTTGTAATTTACAGAAAAGTTTCATATGATACTTTTATCATAGAAAGTCTCTATGGTTAAGATTATCCTATGTCGGAAGATTTGACCCATGTATAAAATATAAATTATACAAATTTTCCTCGTAATTTATTAAAAAAGTCATTGTGCATTTTTTTTACAGAAACGGTCCGTATGTTTAAAAAAATATATAATGGTAGTTTATAAAACTTGTCATCGTAACTTACCAGTTATAATTATATAATTTTTTAGATATTGGCATATTTAATCCCTATAACTTTGTAATTTATAGAAAAGTTCCCTGTGAGACTTTTATCATAGAAAGTCTCTATGGTTAAGATTATCGTATGTCGGAAGATTTTGACCCTGTAGAAAATATAAATTATAAAAAATTTCCTCGTAATTTATTAAAAAAGTCATTGTGAATTGTTTTTTTTACAGAAACGGTCCGTGTGTTTAAAAAGAATATATAATGGTATTTTATAAAATTTGTCCTCGTAACTTACCAGTTATAATTATATAAAAACTACAATAAATTTAATGAACAATTTGTTTGGATCAAATGTTAAATTAAAACTAATATCACTCCTGAACTATTTTTAATTGTTCTACTTTATAAAAATATTAGTGTTGTTAAGCATAAAAAGCTTTTATAATTAAAGAGTTTTTAAAATGTCATTAAATATAATATTTAGAAGAATAAACATAAAATGTTGACAAGTAATCACAACCGTGGTCTAACAAGTTCTTTCATGTTACATGATATTTAAATAATTATTCATTTTAATATATTAGAGAATCTTTAATAGTTAATCTATACTGTAACTTAATATTATTGTCTCGTCATCATTCTATTAACTTTAATCTCTAAATAAATGACTTTTCTAATTATTAACAACTTACAATAGCTTTTTCTTTAAATTTAATTAATATATCCTTGTCTATTTAAAATATTTTATATAATCACCTCCATTTAATTAGTCGTTTTTAAACACATATCATATTTAAATACAAATTATTCTAATAAATATTATTGTTATACATTTATATTTCATAAATAAAATGTCATTAACTATTTGATAGAATTAATTAACAACTAAAAAATATATAATTAAAAAACTAAAATATAATTAAAACGTAAAATAAAATATTATTAGAAGATGGGGGGTTAAATGTTCAAAAGATTAAACTATATTGAACACTTAATATTGTAACGTCTCAAAAACACTAAGAAAACTTTTCATTTTTATTAATTAAAAACCACTCATTCATTATTCCAAAAGATGATCAGAGTAAAAAGTATTCTCAAAACATCAGAGTAAACCATAAACAATCTTTGCGGAATAATCTCCAAGGGATGCAGTGCGATCAAGCCAGACCCTTCCTTTTGAAACTAGAATACCTGAAAACATTTAAACATAAACCGTACGCATAAAGTTTAGTGAGTTCCACAAAATACCACATGTCATACAAATCAGTGGCCCCCGCCCTGGTGTACATTTTAACCCGATCATGCCATAGTGGGCCTCCCCTATGGGGCCTCACCCTATGGTATACTTCAACCCAATAAACAAATATGGGCCCAGTCTTGGGGTATATTTCAACCCGAACATGCAGTAATGGGCCCCGCCCTAGGGTTTCTTTCTACCCGAGCATGCAACACTTATAATCACATAACATCAATCGTACCATGCAAGAGTCACAAAGACAGCTAGTATATACAGATCCTAGTGGGCGGACATTGGTGCCTTTGACCCACGGGTACAGTGAGGAGACTCACCTGAAGTACTTAACAGAAGCTCACAGCTACCTCAACAACAGATCAGCTAACCCAAGCTTCCTAAACCTAAATC